GCACTACACTGTTGTTATTTTGAACGTTTAACAATATGAAGCATTGGACGGTAAAAATTTTGTTGCTTTGTAAAAAGTACAGTCGTTTATCAGTTATATAGTTTTTTATAAAATTTATCGAATAAGTACTGGTTTTTTCCGTTTTTTTTTTCTTTTTATTTATCATACTGCTAAAATACCGTTCGGAGGTATTGCCTGACAAATTTTTCATTATGTACAAATCAATTACACTGGGGTTAGCACAGTTTAATGCCCGACTAATGGGACTTAACATCCAGTCACCCCGGTATCCATGTACACGGATGTTCAGTAACTTCGTTTTGACAATTCACTTTTTTCTCTGTTTACTCGTCGAGCAAAAACTACAACAAAAATTACCCCTTTTTTAGACCATATTTCCATTCAGTCGGACTGTTCACTCATCGTTCTTTCTTTTTTGACTCAGACATAAAAAAACTGATGATTTAAGTGATGACAAAAAAAAAAAAAGTGGTACTTGATTTTTATTCTTCTTTCAAATTATCCGACAAATAACTATGGATTAGTAGCGGCAGAAAAAAAAAAAAAAGGTCTTAACAACGGACGGTGAATGATCTCTGATTTGAAAATGTTTGTAAATTTTGGAAGTTTAAAAGAAACTTCTGACCTCTATTTGTGTTCAAATTTTATTTCAGTCTGTCACTGTTATCCTTTAGGTTTCAATTATCCCTAATTTGTTAATGTATGCATCTATATGGAAAAAAAAGAGAGAGGGGTTTGTTTTTTTTTTCAAAAAAAAAAATTTGTTTTTTTTTTATAAAGAATGCTTTTAGTTTGCTATTTTTTTTTTTTTTTGCAGTTTCTGAAATGCTTTTGTTCGTTCTGTATTCTATCGTACACTTCAAAATAGTCTAAATGAAACAGAAAGGTGTTTAAATTTGAATGTCAAATTTTATTTTTATCTTTCAGTTCTTTTTTTTCGGCTTAAATTGATTGTGAACACTCTTGTTTTCATTCTTTTTTTCTTCCTATACTGATTTACATCTTGCTAAGACAGGATTTATCAGATTGGCCTATAAGGTTCTTAGAATTTTTATTTTTCATGTAGTTTTTCCTGTAGCCAATTTCACGGTCTAAGAACTTGTATAGGGCCCAAGATGCCATAGTACCCCCTCCTGTCTGTTAACATTGGAATTTGAAGGAGTTCTGCTTAAAAATGCTGCAGATACTTTTTTTTATTACGGTTTAAATTACGGCATTGTTTACCGAAATTTGATCAACTAAAAATTCCTGAATATTTGGCACTTTATGGAGGATGAAGCAGTAGGTTAAGGAGAACTCAAAAAAATTTGATGTCATCGTTTCTCAGTTTTCAATTTCAACATTTTTGAGATAAGTGGCTCTCTACTTTTGTGCAATTACAACACTTAACCTTGTCCAGCCAATCGACCATCGGTACTTTCCCTCAAATACTGTTTACTACCCTGTAAAAAGTGCTCCTCTGTTGCAATCGTTTTATCAGTATTTCATGGAAACAACTGTTATACTGCCTGATATTAATCACATTTTCGAGGTGAAATCCTAGCTTCGCCATTTTTAAGATTTTTCGATATTCAGTAGATGCATGAGATTGTTTTCGAATTTTACATGGTATTTGCTCTCTGTCATTAGTAACAGTCTTGTTTAGATTAGACTTTTCCCAAACAGTGAGTAAAACCTGTGAACATGCATTGCCACTACACAGTTTTATAAGAGTCACTGTTCTATTTCTTTGTTAATTCCAAATGTCACTTAAAAGTATTGACGGATCACCTGCGATGGATTTTCATCTTTTGAGTCAACAGAATGTTCAGTGAGTCTAGGAGTTTATCTTAATGTGTATTGTCAAAATGCTGTATTTTCAAGGATAATGCAGTAACCCACCTCTCCCTCAGCTAGTAAGTCGAAATGAAATATGCTGTTAGTTTCCTAAATTGAGCAGTTGAACACATGTTCAAAAGAAAAGGAGTTGGAGGGAGTACAAATAGTCAGAAGCATAGAAACTAAGTTTCTTTTTTGTTTTCTTTTTGTAGGCCTTCTAATTTTGATCACCTTTTTCGCCAGAACAACTCTAAAAGTAGGTTTTTTAAGTAAAGCAAGTATAGGAAGTTTTGAAAGAAGCTTACTAATGATATGTTGCTATTTTAAAGCTGTAGTAATTCTATCTTTATAACATGGGCAGTTTTTAGTATAGACAAAGGTCGCTATCTTCTATCTAAGTATTTAACCTTAACATTCACTGGAACTTGCTGAAAAAAAGGGCCAAAATCTTGGCAGCTGTATAGAAATTTTTCTTTTTTTTACAAATATTTTTTTAGCGTTGAATCTATCGTCTATTCAGCTATTTATAACCAAACATAAATACTTATCAAAACAAAGAGTCTACCTCTTCGCAACTATTGACAACAACGAAAAAAGCCAAAACAGACCATATTTAGACAGAAAATTAGTATGAATAAATCTGGAAAAAAAGAAGACCAGGTAAACAAAGCAATAGCTTACTGTTATATTTCGCTTCTTCCAATTTTTATTCAGTTATTCAACATAATGGATACTGCTTTGGAAAACTGTGTTGTTTGTAGTGGTTCGTAATAATTTGTCATTTTTGTGTTTCAAATTAATCGTCCTTTTATGAAGAGGAATCTACAGCTGATATTAATAATAATGCTTATGGTAATAATTAGTGGCGACAATGAATCAGTTTTGCATTAAACATTCAAAATATTTGTGCTCTCTAATTATAAACTTAGATGCAAAGAAAAAAAAAAACCGGATGATAATAAAATTGAACAAAGCCAAATAAAGTTATTTTATTTGTTCTTGATGCTTAGAATAAAAACAAAATCTGCTGGAAATTATTGCTGGCAAAGTGTTTGTACACACCTTTTTTTCTATAAGCTACGTAACTTCAGCTGCTTATAGTATTAGAAATGTTCTTTCCAAATACATTTACTTTCTTAAATTCATTTGTCGCCAAATATCTTTTTAAGAAGTGCCGAACAGTCTTTCGATGTTTTTTATTCCGCCATTCTGTTGCTCTGCTGATTCTTCCGATATTCCTCTGTATGTTTTATACTTTTTGTATTATAAAGATTATATTTGTGCATTATAGCTTTATCACTGAAATTTACCTTCTTTTGATAGATTGTGACCTATTCTATTGAACAATTCGATTATTTAGCACTAAGATACTTTGCTCTTTCAGAAATTACATTACAACAATTTTGTTAAGAATCATTTTAAAAATGACTATATTTATTTTAAGATAGATGCCACCCATAAGTAATACGTATGCAAACACTTTACAATCATTAATTTCTATTCCTGTT